AGAGAGAGAGAGACGCTAGGGGATAAGAGATTATCTGTTTTGTTAATTCTTTCAAAGATCCATCTCTTTGATTCATTAATTATTTGTATTATATTTTGGTTTCAATTTTATTAATTTCTGTTCTGATCTTTATAATTTCTTTGCTTGTACTACTTTTGGAATGTAATTATTCTTGTTTTTTACATCCTTGAAGTACATCATTAGGTTACTTCATTGGGTTCACTCTGTTTTTCTGATGTAGGCATTAACAGTGATAAACTTTCTTCTTAGGACTACCTTCTTTATCTCCTATAAGTTCTGATATGTTGCCCTGACATTATGATTTGATTCTCGGAACTGTCTAATTTCTCCCTTGATTTCTTTTATGGATTATTGATTATTCAAAAGCATATTGTTTAAAGTCTGTCTTTTTCTCTTTGCTGAGACAGAACACCTGATGCCCAAAGTTAAAGGAGGAAATGTTTATTACCTCACAGTGCAGAGGTTTCAGTTCAGAGTTGGCTGCCTCCAAAGCAGGTTGGGATGCCAAAGGGGCATCCAGAGAATAAATAGTTCATGGTGGGTAGAAGGCAGCATAATAATGAAGCAGCAGCAGCAAGTGGCAAGTAGCAGCAACAACAGTCCTCTGTCTGCCCTTTATATTCTATCCAAGCTGTTCATCTTAGGGTGGGTAGCAGTCATAACCAGATTGGGGTATTGTTAATCCTACCATTACACCATAAATCAATCCCAAAATCATGTTCTTACACAAGACACATTTTACATCCAGCCACTTCTGAAAATCTCCACCTGTGGCCCCATGAGGCTTTGGGAGCACATGTAGACACAAGCCTTAACAATTTCCATGCATTTGCATCCCTTCTGTGGTTTCTTTTGCTATTGAATTCTGTTTTCATCACACTGACTTATTCTTGTCAGTACATTATTTTACTGTTACTAATTTCTTTCCCTACCCTTCTGCTTAAATGCTCACTCCTACACTAGAGCTCCCAGTATTCTTAACCTTATTATTTCTTTCTAGGTTATACTTGTGAATATTTTGTAGTGCTGGTTTAGTGGGCAAGAATTTTTTAGAGACTCTTTGACATGAACATATTTTAATTCTCCTTTAGTCTGGTTCACAAGTTGTTTTATGTTTGTGTTGAAAATTCTGCTCTAATTCTGACAGATTTATCTACATAGATGATTCATTGCTTTTCTTCTAGCAGTTTTTAAACTTCTATCTGTTGGGATTTTGATGGTGTGTCATGAAGCAGTTCTTTCCTGGCCATGGTTATTTAGGATTGAGGGTGCCTCATTTGTCTTTGTGTTAAATTATTTTCCCAAATTTGGTTGGTTTTTTTTTTTTTTCAGAACCGGGGATTGAACGCAGGCCTTTGCGCTTGCCAGGGAAGCACTTATTCCACTGAGCCATCTCCCCTGCCCCTGGAATTTTTCTATTATTTTTGTTAACAGGTTTTTAAATGCCATTTTTTTGTCTTCTTTTTTAATGATGGGTTAGTCTTTTCAGAATCTAGTAGTTATAGAGTCAATGTTTCATGGTCTCTTGTTATTTTCAAGGTGTCTCTGTGTAATTGCCACCAGCATCAGCCTGTCCTCTACTTATCACACTCTGTCCTCACATTGGTCAGTTCTGCTGCTCACATTTTCAGTAAAGTTTTTAATGTCCTGGATTTCTCTTTGTTGCCTTTTCTAATATCAAGAATATATAAAGAACTCAAAAAGACTAGACCTCACAAAAGACTTAGTCAAAAATTGACCGCTGAAATGAATAGACACTTCACAGAAGAAGTACAAATGACCAATAAATACAAGAAAAAAAAATATTTAGTATCTTGAGTCACTACACAAATGCAAGTCAAAACAACAGTAAGACTCTACTCCAGAAAAATAGCTATCATCAAGAAATCAGACAATAACAAGTTCTGGAAAGGCTGCAGTGAAAAAAGAACCTAATAGAACCATTATATGGAAATAATTATGAAGAACCCTCAAAAAACTATAACTAGACATTTCATTTGACAGCACTGTGACACTTCTGTGTATTTTTCTAAAAGGTTAGAAGACATCATATCACTGTTATACATGTCTATCTTTGTTTATAGAAGCAAAAGTCATAATAACTGAATCTTGGATACGGTCAGTATGTCCATCAATAAGATAAATGGATAAAGAAAATATATAATTTATGTACAATACCGTACTGCTCTGTCATAAAGAAGGATAAAGTTGAATGCTTTGTTGGGAAATGAATGTACCTTGAGATTATAATATTTAGGGAAATAAATTAGCCATACAAGTTTAAATATCTCATGGCTTCTATCATAGGAGAAACCCAAAATATAAATGAAAACCAAAATAAAACATAGACAATAGGAAATAGAGAGCTAGATCTTTTGACAGAGAGAGGGTGGGACCAAGAAAGGGGAACCACGTGTTAGAGGAAGGTAGAGGAAAGGGAGAAGGATGGGATTAAAAAATTAAAGATGCGTTATGTGCATATACCAACTCCAATTCCCCACAAGCCATGTAATTACCATGTAATGCAAACATGTAGTAATTAAATTAGTTTTTTTCAAAATACATCTATGCATTTTAAGTGGTTTACCTTATTCCTTAATAAAGCAAAGAGCAATGATGTATTTTTATCAGGATATATTTAAATCATTTTAATTACAGGAAGATGACTATAGCCCAGCAGCATAAAATGAAAGACATCGTGCTTCAAGTCCAGGTAACACACACCTTTTATGAGTCTATGTCTGATTACTAACTTCTGTGATAGTAATACATATAGATAACATTAGTACATATGTGACAGACATGTATGTGTATGTGTACTAAAATCCTAAAATGGGTCTTTCCTTATGACTCACTTTTCTTAGTTTTTGAAAATAAAATGGTAAATCCAGGCATATTTATATAATATCAAGATTTTAAAAGTTTTTTTGGTTACTTAAATATATGAAGAAGAGAACACCATTTCAGGAGTCATAATAGGGACTTAAGAGTTATCTGACTTTCAATAAATTCCTTTTAACTATTTGATCTTCATGTATTCCATCATTAAAATGATGAAGCAGTTACTCTTTTCTCCAAAAATTACAGATTATAAAAAGAAGATAGAAAAAATATGCTTCAGAAATTTCCTATTAAATAGCTCACTATCTTTTATGCAGTCCAAAAGGAATATATAAGTAGCTCATTGTTCTATTATTTGGTGTACTTTTTGTTTGTTTTTTAGTAGCTACCATAGCATCAGTACTAGTCAGTTTTCCTGTCACTAAGGTAAGATACCCAACAACTGTGATTGATTGATTGATTGATTGATTTATCTATTGTGGTATCAGGGATCAAACTCAGGACCTTATGCTTGCCTGGCAGGCATGTATGCTGCTGAGTTATCTCTCTGACCCAACACCTGTAATTTTAAAAAGAGACTTTTATTTTGGCTTACAGTTTCAGTAGGTTCAGTTTGTAGTCAACTCCAAGACAGAAGGAGTGTGGGCAGAAGGTGTGGTTAGGGACAGTTAATCAGGAAGCAGGGTTGGTGTGGGAAAACCCAGGAACAAGAATTCCTTTTCTCAGGTCATACCCACAATAACCCACCTCTAACTGGGCCCTACTTCGTGAAAGTGTGTTTAGCTATCCAGCTCATCAATGTATGAATCTACTAATGAGTATACTATCCCCTGTAATCCAGTCTCCTTCTAAACACATGAGACTTTTCGTACCCCCATTTCACTAAATGGCTTTAAATAAAGGTTGTATACATCTGAATAATTCAAAAACATGGTTTAATACATTTGGGGAAAATAAGAGTGTCAGTTAGACACTGAATGTAAAAAATTCAACTTTATATTAATTTTTTGGTAGCTAGACAAACATAGCAGCAGAAGCAATTTAACTCACAGGGACTCTGAACATGACCCATGTTTAGGATCCCACCAGGCCACCATCAGAGTGTCCACTGGGCTCTATTCAGCCTGTGACTTGGGAGCCTTTTTCCAAGCTAAGTGGGTAGAACAGACATCAGCTACTTGCAGTGGGCACTGTACAGTTTTCTCTCTGAAGCCCTCTACCATAGCCAGGTTACCTCATGGCAGTATTCTTCTTTTTCAAGAATCTGCGACAAAAATCATATAACATAAGTTGACTATGGAAGTATCCTATCCTCTTACCGTACAGTGCAACCCAATAAAAGAGACAGCATCCTGTCATTGCTCTATGTCAGTGGTGGTGAACTTTGTAGAGACCAAGTGCCCAAACTCATTTATCGTAAAGTACCAACACTGCAATAAAACCTGAATGCTTGGCTCTTGGGTCATGGGGCATCTTGTTGACAGAGAGGGCTCTAGAAGGAAACCACTGGTGCCACATGCACTGGGAAGGGACTAGCTAGAATGCATCCCCATGATCAGGGCCCTCAGAATTCTACCTGCCATAATCACTTACCACCTTATTTTAGTTGGAACTATTTTGTATATTAAGAAGGAAATTAACCAAGTGAGTTAGCATGCTGCTTTGTCTTAGCTACTAAGGATGCCAAAGTGAGGATGATCACCTTAGCTCAGAACTAAATCCCCATTTCTTAAAATATTGCATTGTATTACAAATATTAGGACTCTCTAGCTTCCTTTAAGATTTTTTTTTAAATTTAGAATCAGAATTATCTGTGCAGGTATATTTTTCTGGAAAGAGTGTTTATGAATGTAATAGCGAATTGATGTACCTTCTCTAACATTCTAATAGAAACCATGCCAATCTAGGCTATTTTATAGAAGTTAGGAGAAGATAAAAAGTGACCAATTTATGATTACAGGACAAATTAGTGGTTAAAACTAAGCTGCAAATATGGCTATTTGAATTCTGCCCATCTGTGCTATAATGAAGATTTGTTTTGTTTCACCGCAGCACCATGAAGAATAGGATCAATTTGTATTACAATATATCCACTTTAAAATGCTTTAGTGGCTCATACAAAACTGTAGTTTTTAAATGAATTGTTAGTTCCCTTTGTATAGAGAATCATTGTTCCAGTTATTCTTCTAATATAGATTTAAAATAATGTAGTTAAAAGCCATCAGAACATCAGGATTTATGACTGTCGTCGGAAGAAGAGTGCTGGCCTAAGGGGTAAAGTCAGTGTTAAACCAACCCTATTTCTATGATAGTGGAGTATAAAGGCCCCCTGACAATTACACTATTGCTTTTTTGATTTTTTTCTATTAATAGTTGTCTGATATAATTGAGTGATCTCATATTTTCTGCCTATACATTTATGATTTTTGTCTTTTCCTCTTGAAGTTTTCCCCTAACAAGTATGTGGTGACCATCTTTGTCTCTTTTGATCATGGTTGGTTTGCAGTTCACATTGTCTGTAAACAAAATAGCTACCCCTTCTTTTGTGTTCCTGTTGCATAGAGTATGGTTGTCTAGTTTTTTAATTTCAGACTATGAGTGTCCTTTAGAATTAAATGTGTTTCTTGCATATAACATATGCAGATTTTGTTCCCTGATCCATTCTTCTAGTCTGTTTCTTTTGATTGGTAAGTGGAGGCCATTTACATTGATGGTTGTGGCTTATTTTTGTCATGTCATTTTCCCACTGTTGGTTTCCTGCTTCCCACCCACCCCCATTTAATTGCTTACCCCAATAGGTGGTTTCTTTCTGTTGTGGTTCTTGAAGTTGTGGTAATTTTTATCTCTTTCTAGAATATCTTTTAGGACTCTTTTGTAGGTTTGGTTTTGTGGTCATAAATTTCTTCAGTTGTTCTTTGTCATGGAAGTATTTTATTTCTCTATTAACTTTAAAATATAGTTTTGCAGGGTACATCATTCTGGATTAGAAATTGTTTTCTTTCAGAACTTGACATACTTCTCCCCATGCTCTTCTTTACTTGAGGGTTTGTGTTCACAAGTCTGCTGTGATTCTGATGGTGTTTCCTTTTTTAGAGGATTTGTTTCTTTTCTCTAATAGCATTCTTTTCTATGTATTTAGGACAGGGTCTACAGGGTCTCACTACATAGATTGGAGTCATAGTGATTCTCCTGTTTTCAGCCTCCCAAGTGCTGGCTTTACAGGTGTGCGCCATCACACCCAGTCTCAATTGCCATCTCAGCATGCCTTGGGGGCAGAGCCAACATGGCATGACAGGGATCAAATCCTGGTCCCTGCATTTGCCTAAGCAAGTGCTTTAGTCCACTGAGCTATCTGGCCAACCTCTAATAGCTTTTAATATTGTGTTTTGTGCTTCATTTCTGGGATCTTGATTGTTATACATTTGGTGTACATTTATTTTAGTCACAGCTAAGTGGAGTTCTATATTTTCTCATTGAGCTGTATGTCACATTCAGTTCCCATGTTTGAGAAATTTTCTGCTATTACTTTTGCAAAGCCTTTTTATGTCATTTGTGTTGACGCTTGCTTTTCCATTGGTACTTGTCAGTCATGTATTATTTTTCTTTGCATTGTCTTGCAGCTCTTGAATCCTTATTTCCTGATCTCATGTTACTTTCAAGAGGTATTTCCTTTCTAGCCATGATCCTATCTTCAAGGTCTTATCTTCAGTTTCATTCAAGCACTTTTACCAGCATTCAGTAGAAATTTTAATTTCCTGGATATCTGTTTGAATCTTTTTCATGAATTCTGTTTCTTTCCTGTGCTGATCTTGCATGATTTCCTTCATTTTCCTGTCATCCTTTATTTTTTAATCTATCTCTGCTCTAGACTTGCTAAGCATTACCTTCATGATTGTTGTCATTTCCATTTTACCTGAGAGACTACTTCTGACCTGATTTCCTTCGTAGCCTCATGGATTTGTTTCTTTACTTTCATTACCATCATTTTAGAAATTTCAAGTGTGTGTCTTCCATTTTCTTCTATCTTCATGCTTTGTGGACTTGTTTTGGGTGGGCTGGAGGTCTGAGATGGCATTTTGATTCTTCATCTTGTCATTTTCACTTGGTCTTAGCCAAAAAGCCAAAAAGTGATTGCATCTTGTCATTTTCAATTTCAAAAAATTTTATTTTGTTTTCTGTTTGATCTTTGTATATTTTTGTAATAGATATCTACATCAATTGTTTGAAGTCCTCTTCATGAAAAGTCTGTTCTGGGATGTTTTTCATGTGCAGGAAGTTATTTGTGTCTACCAAAATCCTACCTTTCCAGTTAAGAGTAAGATGTTGGTATCTGTTTGGTTTAGTCCCCAGTTTTGTGGTAGTGTGGTGAGGTTAAAACTCTAGAGCTTTCCAGTATTGTTATAGCACAGAGAACAACAGATTGTAACAGATATGACATCCTACCTAAACTAGTATAATTAGTGATAACAATAGCATGAAACACAGTTTAGAAACTAATAAACAGTGGTAACTCTTAATGCTTTACCTCAAACCATAGGTGAAAAATCTATAATTGCATAATAAAACTGATTATAAATTATCCCCAGCCATTTAGAAAAGAGAAGAAAAACATTGAGAGAATAAGAGTTGTCCCACTCACATGCTTCTATTCCTGTGTCCTTGTCACAAGCACAACACTGGTTCACCTGAGTTACTGTCTGTTGGCTCATACTGTTGTTGCTTCAGACTTTTGCATACCACTAGTCCCAACTGTCCATTCCATGTGCCCTAGTCAGGTCTCTACTTTATTGCTGGCATTCCCTCCAGTCTCTGGGCCTTCCCACATGGTTTATCTCAGGTGTGGCAACAGTGAAGGGAGGGACAGGTCTCTAGGGCTTCCCTCTCAGGTCACCTGGATCCCAGCAGCTGTGAAGGGAGAGGCCAATTCTCTGGGTTCCCTCTCAGTTAACCTCTACTTTCAATTTTAAAACTGAAAAAGTCCTTCTACCAAAGGGACATAGCATTGTGTTTTTAAAAACCTCTCACACTTTTCTCCTATAAATTTGTACTTCAGCATAATAGTAGCCTGCTGTGTTTCTCAGTAGCTGTGCCTTATGTTACTTATAAGAAATAATATGTATGCTTAGCCACTTGGCATAACAAATGGCAGTGGCATGCATATAAAAGAGTCAAACTGGGATTTTTATCCACATTTAAGTGCTGTCACAAATTTTGTATGTTTTTCTGACCATCATGGGGAGGAGGTAAATAAACCCATACCATTCTTCTTCTAGTAATTACATGTAAACATGTACTTTACAATAATGGAATGTGGGTTTATTGGGAGAAGTAGCCAATTTAGTGCAATGAAACATGAGAAGCCAGATTTCTACATTTTGGAGGAGGTCAAAATTGAATCATCAGATCAGGTGTCTATGCAAGATGGAAATAATGACTTTGAAATTGCCCATGTGAACCAAAGTGTCTGTGACAGTGAAATGGAACAAGAATTAAATGACACAGATACAAGGAATACAGACTTCTTTGGTTTATATGATGAAGAAGACAGTACATATTTGACTAGTCAACATGTTACAGATAGTCACTCAAATTTTGTTGATGTTGAAAATTTTGTTGTTTGTTAACACTCAGTAATATTACTAATTCAATACTTTATTTTTTGATATATTTCCGATTAAGTACTTAGTGTTTAATATGTCATAAAATTAAAATTAATAGCTCATCAATAATAATATTCTAAAGAATAAACATGGGAATATACCTTTATGACAAAATTGACATCATGCCCAATATTCTACCTCATTTTTCTTTTGTAATAATCTTGTTATATGTCACTGATATAAACCAAATATTACTATTAACTTTTTTTTTTTGGTGATGGGAGTCAAACTCATGACATCATACTTGCCAGGTAGGCACTGTTCCACTGGGCTGCATCCCCAGCCCACTATAACCATTTTATCTGGGAATTTCTTTAGCTCAATCCACAATTTTATTAAGCCTAAGTGTTCATTGTTCTACATAGCACTGTCCCTCACTCATCACCAAGCTCCAGTATTAATTAATTTTCTAGTCTTCTTCCTTCTAGAATTCCCTCGTACAGTGTTTTACATTCCTTTGGTGTGTAGACACAGCTTTTTTACTCTTTCTGAAGATTACAGTCCTAGTCTCATTATCACCCTTCCAGCTTCTGCTGTCCTGTTGAACCCAAAACCATTAGCACAAGTTTTAGGGGGATTTTTGTTGTTGTTTATTCACTCCATTTCCAGAAGTTTTTATTACTTGATATCAAATTATCCTCAAATTTAGTAAAATTAAGTTTATTTAAATAATACTGGTTTATTCATGGATTTTTTGAGATAAACTGAACAATGGCTTTGCTTGCTGTTATTTTGACTGAAATCTTTTCTGTGACTACAGGGAGCTTGGATATTTTTCTCTCATGTGCCTGGTATCCCAGCATTCATTAGTTATCCCAGGGTCCTTACAAGAACACAAAAGGAAAAAGAAGATGACAAAGGTTTTTTCATAAACTGAAACTATAAGGCCTTAAAATTCTATAAGGATGTCCATAGTTAAGTAGCATATACTTAAAGGTGAAAGGAATTGTTGACAGCCATTTATAAAGTCATGATAAACTTTATTCAATTTATTTATTAATTTTTGCGTTTGGTACAGGGTCTCACTGCATAGATTGGACTCGTGGTGATCCTCCTGTTTTCAGCCTCCCAAGTGCTGCGATTGCAGGTGCATCACCATGCACAGTCTCAGTCGCAATCTCAGCACACCTCAGGGGCAGCGCCAACACAGCACACACCAGGGATCAAACTCCAGACACTGCGCTATGCTGAAGCAGGCGCCTTAGTCCACTGAACTATCTGGCTGGCCCTTAACATCATTCAGTTTTAATGAATGTCTTAGTGACATAAAATAGTGTAAATTTTCTATTACTAGGTAACCAGTCAGATTTTTCCTAAATAACAAATTATGCAAAACAGTGATTTAAAGTAGCAGATTCATCATTTCTCTTAGAGACAAGACAGGTTATTTCTCAGTTGCCCATTTAGCATAGGTTGTATTATCTTAGATGGCTTCACTCGTATATCTGAGGTTCCAGCTGAGACAACCAGGACAGATGAGACCTTTTTCCATCTTTTGCCTTCCAGGGAGCTAGCCCTGGTGGTATGTAAAAGTTTCGAAGAGAAAATAAAACAAAACCCAAACGTGCTTTGAAGCCTAAATTCAGATCTCACAAAGCATCATTTGCCTTGTATCCTGTTTACCAATAAGTGACAAATCAGGTCACTGCAAGAAGTGAGGGACTAGGATTTACCTTTTCATATGAGCAACTATAAAGAATTTATGGCCATGTGCAGTAGTCTAACATCATGCAAAAAATATTCTCATTCTCTTGCTCTCCTTTTCCATGTGTAAAATTTAGTTAAATCTAGTTGGTCTCATCACTGTAGTTTAATTTTCTAAAGCTTTGGTAGAACACAGAGTAGGCTACTCTATAAAGAGACCCCAGGTAATTAAATAAATATTTATGATAGAATATTATTTTCCTAGGGCCAGCCAAATAGCTCATCGATTAAAGCACCTGCAAGCAGGTGCAGGGGTCAAGGGTTTGATCCCCAGGCCTGCTGTGCCGGCCCCACCCCCAAGGCACACTGAGATTGCAACTGGGCATGGTGGCACGTGCCTGTAATCCCAGCACTTGAGAGGTTGTAAACAGGAGAATCACCACGAGTCTGATCTAGTAGTGAGATCCTGAACACCCTGTAGACCCTTCTCTATAATACAGGGGAAAAAAGTATTTTCCTGTCATATAAAATTTGAGTAGATAATTCCAGGCAGGTCTAGAAGTCTATTTTCTAAGTTCCAATGTCCTTGCTCTAATTTCTCCTTGAAATTTAGAAATTTTGTAGCTATCAAAGTTTCTGTTTAACTCAAAGAAGTTAGATGTGTGTGTTCAAATAACCATCATGGCTATCTATAAGTGGTCGTAAAATAAAATTTGTAAAAAGAAATTCATAAAAATGCCATAAATAATACCTTTTTATCTTTATTCCCCCTAGAAAGTAGCAGATGATCTGAAAGTTGAGAACAAAGCCCTTCAGGAACAACTTAAACAGGCATTACTGGTGAAGAATATCATGTTTCCATAAAATTATTATGATAA